TTGTTTCAGTAAAACTAACTTATATATTAAATAAGAAAAAATTTCACTCAGTCATTTCTCAGAAAATGTTATTGAAATGCATTCTGGCAAATTTTTGTTGAAAACAAAATAGCTTGGAAAATAAAAGATCAATGTTTTCCTTAGAAATCTTTCCAACTATCCGCAGAACTTCTTCATCATTGATTTCGTTTGCATTTATTAAGCCTTTTGCGTGAGCAAATGACAAAATTTTATTGGATGTTTCTTCAAATCTCGTCGTTAAATTATTAATTGAATGTCCTATTAAAATTTCGTAATGACAAAATAAATATTCCTGCTCCAATAAAATTGGCTACATTTAATTAATTTGACTGAAGCTAGGTGGCTGAATCAAATTATTCAAAAATTTTCTTTGAAAGCTGAATGTTAAAACGAAATCTGTTTGAACTTTGTTTTTATTTTGCTCGTCACTCAACAAATTTAATAGTTGGTCAGGCTCATCTTCACTTTCTGCTGTTTCTTCTTTGTCGCTGTGATTTTTATTTTGTTTATTTAACCACTTTCGCATAAAAACTCTTTTTCCTTCCAGAATGTGTATTGATTGGTTTAGTTGTGGTTGCCACTTTAAGCAACCACCTTCAGTCTAAAAGAAATTTTGTCATAGCCGGAGGTATTTGATTTTGTGGAAGACAGTTACATTCCAAAACTTTACACTTGCAAGCAGCTATGTCAAACATCTTATCGGCTTCACTAAGATAAGAACCAACAGCTTTTTTAAAATTAGGTTTTTCTCCATCTCTTGTAACACTTTTTCTGAATTTTTGAACTACATTGGCTTCATTTGATATTAAATTTACAATTCTTTGGCGGCTGACAATAGAAATCGAGCATTTTTTCCAAATTTTTTCAAGTTCCGTTGCTACCATATTTGACACATTATTAAATTTATTTGTCTTGCAAATGAAATAATAATATCTTATTAAATCAAGAGATGTGGGCAATTTAATACTGCTCAAATTTGTGCAATCTCCTAAAATGGAACAGTTTATATTCGTAGATGAAGCCATTATGATGAAAGACACTAAAATTTATTGAAAAAAATGAAATTATAAAGTAAAAAGGAATAATTATATTTTAAAAAATGCGATAAAATAAGGTTAATATAACGTTTTAAAAATTAAAAATTTCTTACCTATTAAAGGAATAACCTTTTTGAGTTGTTAAAAACCTGTATTTTTATCTTTCTAAAACATCATTACAGAAAAATATTATTACAAAATATTCACATAAAATAATTCCTTGAAAACGACAGTATAATAACAAACAATAAATGCATTCGAATATTTTAACAAATGAGCGACATCTACGAAATACTAAAAATCTCCTACCTATAAATATAAAAAAAATTTTCTCTTAAAAAAGAAGCAAATTTATAAATGGAGGTACAGTTAAGCAAAATATAGAAAAGTAAGCAAACGTTCTAACTTGACATTTTGACTGAATTTAAATAATTATTATAGAAAAAAATTATATTTTTCTTTTTAATTTTTGTCTATATTATTTTGATCTCCTTGACCGGAAAAAATGTGTTGTAACTAAACCCCAGTGATGAAAAAGTAAATCAATTTCTTTTGGACGACATTTCACAATTATTAAAATATGACACCTTAAATTAGCCGTGCATACACTGCGCATCGCGCGAGTATGAGTGCCAATGTTAAGCATTGAAATTGAAATGACACCTTAAAACTTTCATGTCACATTATTGTTGTAATAATGTTCTGTTAAATTAATTATGAGTTAAATTTAACAATTTAAAAAAGAATTTTACTGCTTACAGTGTAGTTTATGAAAAATTTCCGAGTTAAATAGTTTCAAATAAAAAATATCAAAAATATTGATTTTTTCTGAGTTTTTAGCTTTTTTCGTCTGCGCTCACGAAAAATTTATATTTTTTTTATCACGGATTTTTTCTACGATTTTCTAACATTAAATAGAAGCTTTTAAGGCCTGAGGCCTTTAAAAAAAAAGAAAAAAAATTTTTTCGGCCCACCCTAGTGTACATTATAATATTATTGTTTAAATCATGAATAATTTATTGAATCTTTATTTTATAATTAAGGTTATGTATAAATGGTATAAATTTTACTACCAATAAATTAAAGTCTAAACTTAAATAAGACCCATATGTAAAAAAAAATTATTGTTAGTTCATTTTGCAATTAAAATAATTATAAAATAGTTACCTGTATTTATAGAAAACAATTTTCTATTCTCAACAAATCATTCAGTAAAAAAGCAGAATTGGAAGAGAGCGAATAGTATTGGCGGTGAGTTTCTGCCAATACGTTTTCGCGTGAAAACCGTATTGGGGGCATTCAGACAATCCTGCCTTTTCACCGTCAATTCTGTCCTCTTGGATTGGTGGACAATTTTCTAAAAATCCGTTTCCCAAAACAGTTTATCCCAAAATATTTTTTTCCCAATGCTGGATTTTCCAAAAAATAATTTTCCCAAAAAATTTTCCCAATGTTATATTTTTTCCAAAATGTGTATTTATTGCCAAATTAGTAGTAAATAATCACATTCGAACGTAATGTCCAAGTGATTGTAAATACGTAACAACATCATTGTTATCAACGTATTCGTGATACTTTAATACAATATTAAATATTCTTTTATCAGTTTGCAACTTCTTGGAATCTCTATTTTTTAACTTGCTGTCCTGAATTCTCGCTGTTTGTTGAATTACTGAGTCGTACTGACTCTATATTTCCGGAACGTAACAGGGCGGTACTTGTCTACGTCGGCCTCTTGCAGGTTTTTCTCGAATCTCTTCAGGAAATTCATTTTGCAAGGACTCGAATTCTTGGGCAATGTTTTGAGGTGGCACGAAAGCCAGAGCACATACCATATGTGCAGCCACTTTTATAGAACGAATTGCTTGGGAAAATATTTTTTTGGGAAATATAATATTAAGAACAATTTTTTTTGGAAAAAAATTTTTGGGAAAATTGACCCCTTTGTCAATTTTTTTGTCCTTTTGAATCTTCCGATTTCACGTTTATTAACTCGATTTGGCATTTTAATCAAAAAGACTGATTGATTTAATGTGTAAAAATGCTGATAACGAACAGGAAATATAAAACTTTGTTAAAATGTAAATAAATAAAATTTGACAGCAGACTGCGTGTACTGTTGGTCTATTACCATATGATTTAGGGTATTTTCTGGATTAGCGCTGTGACTTATGCTCACAGCGCCCCTAGCGCGAACGTCGCAAGCTTCCTAAATCATGTGGTAATAGATCAACAGTACACACTTAAGTCGAGTCAATAAACGTGAAATCGAAAGATTCAAGAGGACAGGATTGACGGTGAAAAAGCAGGATTGGCAGAATGCCCCCAATACGTTTTTCATGCGAAAACGTATTGGCAGAAACTCACCGTTAATAATATTCGCTCTCTTCCAATCCTGCTTTTTTTACTGGGCACCTTATTACAATCGTATACCTTTATCCATTAGTTTTGGTTTTTTATCCTTCTTACGCACTTCACCACGAGAAGTTTCAAGCAAAACTGTAAAGCTTTCAAATAATCGTCCACCATATTGGATCATCTACATTAAATTTTTTAAAACTGACATAAAATTTGTCGTTAGCAATCTCAAAAACCCCAGAACAAAAAAGTTTTACACTACCGGTCAAAATTGAAAGAGCACCCATTTTCAGGCGAATGAATAACGTTTTAAAACATAAGATTTATTGAAACTAAAATTTTTTTCTGTTCATTTTTTGATAGATGATAAAATTTTGTAAAGAACAATATATTTTAGAAGTCGTTTTGCCAATAATTCATTTAGATATTTTTAAAAAATTGTCATTTTCAATGTTTTACAAAAATTTGAATAACTTCTAAAATAATGAACGCTTTTTAATGATCTTAGGCTTATTTTAAAGGTCATTTGTTACACTATAAGAATTACTTATAGGCATTAACGTGTAATTTTTTTCTTAGAAAATTCAGGCCGTCAAACTTGGACCAGAAAAATTCAAAAAATTTGGAGCAATTTTTCTGTACTAAAAACGATTCTAGAAAATATATAAAACACCAAATGGTGTAGATTTTTCAAGAAAATTTAATAAAAAAAATACGTTTGAATTTTAAAAATTATTTTTCTGTTAATAAGAATGGTCCAAATTTTTTGAATTTTTTGGTCCAAGTTTGACGGCCTGCATTTTCTAAGAAAAAAATTACACGTTAATGCCTATAAGTAATTCTTATAGTGTAACAAATTACCTTTTAAATAAGCCTCAGATCATTTAAAAGCGTTCATTATTTTCGAAGTTATTCAAATTTTTGTAAAACATTGAAAATGACGATTTTTTAAAAATATCTTAATTAAATATTTGCCAAATGACTTCTAAAAGATCTTGTTCTTTTCAAAATTTTAACATCTTTTAAAAAATAAAAAGAAAAAAATTTTAGTTTCCATACATTTTATGTTTTAAAATGTTTTTCAATCATCTGAAAATGGGTGGTCTCTCAATTTTGACCGGTAGTGTATGTAAAATTTTTAATTTTTTAAAACTGATATAATTTTTGTGATCAGCGACTCCAAAAAATTGAAATCAAAGAAACTTCTTTCCGCATTTTAGTTACTTTCTTTGAAACAATAAAAATAATTAAAATTTGCACTTCATTTTTTTAAGTAATAAACACATTAATACTTTAAATATTATTTACACTTTATTTTTCAAAATGCGCAAAACAAAAATATGATTGTAAGTGCCATTAAAACAGTTTTTACACTATAAAATATAAGGTTTACTTTCATTTGTAGTACAATTAAATTATTTTGTAAACCAAACGCTTCAATAAGTTCAGAAACCACATTACATAATTCCAAATAACTATGCACTCACACTAATATTTTAATTAAATACATATATATTTCTAATAACGGAACAAAGAACTTGATTGCGCTACGAGAAAAATTGATGAAGACTATTGATGTTTCAGAATTGAGTGGAAATTTAAAGTCACTTCTAGAACACCTAAAAGCAATCCAGTTCGATATCGACAGTGCACCTTACATAAGTTTAGAAAATTGGAATGAAAAGGAAAGAAATAATGAAGTCTTAATAATTCCAAGAAATATGCAAGACAATTTGCAAAGTTTAGATAATAGTTTACCGATGGATGGCTGTTTTACTGAAACGCAGTTTCATATAGATGTAAAACACGAAGATTCGATTTATGACTTTGAAAAAGGTCTTTGCTATATTATAAATGAAGAACAATTTGATAAGGTAGAATTTTAGATTAACTAAATATATCAGGCAGATATTTTAAATGTTTTCATATTTCTGCAAATTATATATCCAAATTACCGTTTTTCCTCCGGCCACACCTCATATGGAATGTATATAGTTTATGGACGTCTAATATTATGTTTTAAAAGAGAGCGAGAGCTAAGAAGTTTTTTTCCTAGCTCCTGCTCTGAAACTGCAAACTTTTGAGGTTAAAAAGTGCAGCGAAAGTGGTACTTTTTCCAACTCTTTTGAAAAACAATGGCAAAAGTAAACTGTCTTGGAGTCTGTAATACTTAACTATTCAGCTTCGTTTAAACTGTCGCTGAGAGCAGTCTTTTCTTTTGCTCCGTTATTATTATTTATACTCACACAGCACCGAAACTTTCCTGAAAATTTATTAAAGATTTACTTTAAATTTTAGGAAAGTTTCGGTGCTGTGTGGGTAACTACAATTACACAGTGGAACAATTTTAGAAAAATGTTTTTGGGTTAAGACTTAACTATAATGGGGTGAAAGTGCTACCCCAGCAGAGTAAAATCCCTAAAGGGTTTTGAAAAATTAGCAGCCGTTTTATTTTTATTGTAATTTTAAATTTTGAAAATTCAGTAATTTATTAAATAATCGCCATAATCAGCTTTTGATCAGTAAATCGTGCATTTTTCACAATAACTTCTTAATTTCTTGAGTAAAATTGTAGTTTTCATTACAATAAATAAATCCAATAAAAAATCACTTTCATTAAAAATTGTCTATCAATTATTCAATTTTTCTCAATTTTTTCACACTTCTCCGTAAAATATTTCATTGTTTTATTTAACCCTAGCAGGAGTACGTAAATTGACTCAACCTCTAAGGAGTAACTGGGGTGTCTAGACACCCCAAACTTCAATCTTGTTTTAAAAGTTTTCTATTTAACGTAAAGTCAATTAAAGATAGTAAATTTTATTGGTTTTTTAATCAAGAAAGCAATGCTTTTATTTATTTTTTGTTAAATTAAAATTTTTTTGAATAATGGGTAAAGTTTGAAAGCGAAAAAATCATTTTTTAAGTTAGAGGCGTTTTTTGAATATTGCGTGGGGTGTCTAGACATACATTGTAATTTTAGTTTCCAAAACGAAATTTATAGACACTTATCTGACTTGAGTACAATTTTTTGTTTAAATATTCAAAAGAGTTATTTAATTTTAATTTCTGTAACATTTCAGTAAAAATTTAAATAAAAAAATATAATAATTTGCAACGCAGTGTGAAAAAATTGGAAAAAATCGAATAATTTTCCCCAAAACATTAACTATAGGTAATTTTTTAACCATAGTTCGTTAATGGTTTTATTGTAATAAAAACTACAATTTTACTCAAGAAAGTACGACGTTATTGTAAAAAATGCACGATTTACTGCCAAAAGCTGATTAGAGCGGTTATTCAATAAATTACTGAATTATCAAAACTTAAAATTACAATAAAAGCAAACATCCGCTAACTTTTCAAAATCTTTTGGAGATTTTACTCTGCTGGGGTAGGACTTTCATCCCATTATAGTCAAATCTTAACCGATTTTTTGGTGTTCCACTGTGTTATAATGTAGTATTTATGCTTTTATTTGTATTATTTACACGTCCGGGTTCTGTACTTTCAAGTGTGTTGCTGTGACATTTGTATAGTTATGTGTTATATGATTTTTTTTACTTTTGCACCCTTGACTGCACAATGTGAAATGTTCTATTTTCAGGGTGGCCACTATTTTTACGCTTTTCGTCACCCGGTTTTTTCCCGGTTCTCCCGGTGAAGATTAGCAATTTCTCCCGGTTTTAAATCACAATTTTACAATTCGCAGAACATCATTTTTATATGTACATAATATGTACCTATTATTACATAAAATTTATTGTAAATGACTGATTTTCTGTGACTATTCTCGTGATTTCAATCAGTGAAATTTTATTTAAGACCAGTTAAAAATAATTGTAGGTAATATTTGTCAATTTTCACTGATTGGAAAATTAAAAAATAACTCATATTCTTAAATGCTAAAAACAGAAATTTCTAGTAATTTTTTAATTGGTCAACCAGTGAAAAATTACTTATATTTTAGTAATTTTTAACTGATTTTCAGTGAAATTCTATAAATGCAAATCGCGGCAATAGTCTTTGATTGTCAGTCAAATTTCACTGATTTTCAGTGGAATTACAATGATTCAGATTTGCAGAAATTTTTTATCAAATTTGTTATGACCGTACTTTTAATAATTAATTAATATTATGCAAAATATAATTATTATTTCCCTTTTCGTCACAAATCTGTCTTTTATACCAACGCGATAGTTAAACGCCAGTTAATTTTATTATACAAAAACTAACAAAAATAAATAGTCAAATAATCAACAATAAACAATGAAGAAATTATCTTAAAGGAGATCCTGCTGAGAGATATTAAAAGCAAAAGGGAAAAGCTTTATTCTTCGAGACACGACACTGAACAAAATTTCTACTTACCAATTTTGTTTAATTCTTTTGTCAATAAAGTGAATTGGGTAAAACAATCTTCTCCAAATCAACCACAATAAAAATATCACACTGTCAATTTAATACTTTTATTCAAAAAATATAAACTCTCTTCTTATACATCAATTTACCAACTCTTTGTCCCATGTCTATTCAACGACAACACAAGTCGAACTATCTCCAAAAATGTGCTTTCGTCGTCTGCTACATTTTTCGCGAAGCGCCGGAACACACTTGTCAAAAAGGGGAATTTACATTTTTCCCTACGCCTTAAAGTCAAAAGGACTAACGCGCTAAACCCAAAATCAAATAACTATTAATTGAAATTATAATAATAAAAAGAAAGTAAATAATGAACATATCATGACGAAACCATTTCGTCAGATTGTTTAGAATCTGACGTATTTAACTAAAATCGAATACAATGAAGTGTTTTGAAGCGAACTTTAATTATGTAAAAATGTAATAGTTTATATAACTTTATCTATTAATACGTACACTACCGGTCAAAATTGAGAGAACACCCATTTTCAGGCGAATGAAAAACGTTTTAAAATATAAAATTTATGTAAAATAAATTTTTTTCAGTAAAAATAAATAAATTTTTATATTTTGAAAGATGATGGAATTTTGAAAAGAACATGATATTTCAGAAGTCGTTTACCCTATATTTGATTTAGATATTTTTAAAACATAGTCCTTTTCGATGTTTTACAAAAATTTGAATAACTTCTAAAATAATGAACGCTTTTTAATGATTTTAGGCTTATTTTAAAGGTCTTTTACTACACTATAAGAATTACTTATAGGCATTAACGGGTTATTTTTTTCTTAGAAAATGCAGGCCGTCAAACTTGGACCAAAAAAATTCAAAAAATTTGGAACAATCTTATTAGCAGAAATATAATTTTTTAAATTCAAACATATATTTTGTATTAAATTATCTTGAAAAATCTATACCATATTATGTTTTATATAATTTCTAGAATATTTTTTAGTACAAAAAAATTGGTCTACATTTAAAAAATTTTTTTGTCCAACTTTAACGATCTGCATTTTTTATCAAAAAAAATTAGACGTTAATGCCTATAGGTAATTTTAATAGTTTAGCAAATGACCTTTAAAATAAGCCTAAGATCATTAAAAAGCTTTTACTATTTTAGAAGTTATTCAAAGTTTTGTAAAACATTGAAAATTACGATTTTTTAAGGGGAGGGTATAGTTAATTACATGAAAAAATGGCATGTTTTCGTGATTTTTTTTGGCGCTCTGGTTAGAGCCAGTGTATTGGACAAATTTTACATTTATAGTACATCAGTTAAAGATAATTTAGTCTAAATTTGAAAGCTATATGATGAGAAGGAACTGATTGGCACGCGATTTCCGAAGACGCCTTCAAAAAACCATTTTGCAGTGTTCACTGTAAGTCGAAGCTGGATCATTTGAATTATAAAACCCAAGATTTTTTTGTTAACTGATGAGTGTCCCAAGGTAACGCTGTCGAGTTTTTGTTTTTGGGTTTTTGGCACCACTTTGAAGTCAAAAAATCGTTTTTTGATATAAAATGTCAACACATTTGTTATTTTAAAATGAGTAATAATTAACAAAAGAATAAAAACTCGACAGCGTTACCTCGACATTTATGTGTATAAAAAGTATACCAAATTTCAAAAGAATCGGTGCAGTAGATTTTGAGTGACAGTGAACACCGACTTTAAAAACAGCAAGTGTGGGAAAAACGGTTTAAGGAAAGGGTAAAGTTAATTCTGTGAAAAATGGCATGTTTTCGTAATTTTTTTTGGCGCTCTGGTTAGAGCCAGTGTACTGGATCAAATTTTACATTTATAGTACATCATTTAAAGATAATTAAGTCAAAATTTGAAAGCTATATGATGAGAAGGAAGACGCCTTAAAAAAACCATTTTGCGGTGTTCACTGTAAGTCGATGCTGGATCATCCGTCAGTTTTGCTCGGATCTGCTTCAAATTTTCACACAATACTTTTGAAATATAGTAGATTAAAATAAAAAAATAAAAAAAAAAATGAAAAAATAAAAGCTATAATACTATACCCTCCCCTTAATAATATCTAAATAAAATATTGGCAACAGCTTCTGAAAAATCTTGTTCTTTTAAAAATCTTATCATCCTTTATATATATAAAGAAAAAAATTTTATTTTTATCCCACATGCACAAAAATGGCGCTTTTTGATAGCAGATGACAGGGAGGAAAGTCATTTATTTCTTCGACCGTATGAAAATGGCGGCCGTGTTCTCCTAAGGTCAAGAAAATTAGCTGTTCACATGCATTTTTCTTGCCCATGCATGGAAGAAAACGGCCGCCATTTTCATACAAATCGAACACCACTAGACCTCCACTCGTGTCACAAAAATCACCGTAAAGAAATGGCTGCCTTTATCTTCTTGTTGCTTAACCTAATTTTTCAAAAATCAATCGGATTCTCTGGAAAATTCTTACTCAGGGGTTTTCGGTGTCGCTGATTACGAATCTGATATTACTTTTTCAAAATTCAAAATTGTGGATCCAATATGGCAAACAAAATTTTCAAAAATCAATTGGATTCTCTCGAAAATCCTTACTTGGGGGTTTTCGAGGTCGCTGATTACGAATCTGATATTACTTTATAAATTAAAAATGGCAGATCCCATATACCGGGTAAAGAAGGTTAAATTTTATTTAATTCTTTTGAAAATGCTTACTCAAGGGTTTTTAAGGACGCTTAATTTAAATCTTTTTTATTAATTTAAACATCTTCAGCCACCAGTTGCTAAACTGATGTTTCCAATTATCACCGCGTGGAAGTAGATGAACAACAAGAATTTTTTTTTATTTAAAAAAATTTTTTTTTGCTTCTTTATTTTTTAATTTTTTTTGTATTTTAAATTTATTTTTATTTTATAAATTAATAAATTAGATTCAAATTTTATTTGTTTAACTTTTTTATTCTCATTGCTTCTCTATTCTCCTTGTGACTGTTTGAAACATTTTACACAGAAATATTAAAGACAGGTGTGGCAAAATTTTCGTGCTCTTATAGAACATTTATTTGTTGAGCAATATTTTTGTGATTCGCTTCTTTCCACAACAGGATTTTTGCACTTTTTGTTAATCAGATAACTTTTGCTAATGCTTATAGAAAACTCTTTTATCTCAATTTTTTCGATTCGCAAAAGTTATCTGATAAACAAAAAGTACAAAAATCCTGTTGTGGAAAGAAGCGAATCACAAAAATATTGCTCAACAAATAAATTTTCTATAAAAACACAAAAATTTTCCCGCACCTGTCTTTAATATTTCTGTGAATAATGTTTTAAACAGGCACACGGAGAATAGAGAAGCAATGAGAATAAAAAAGTTGTACAAATATAATTTGAATCTAATTTATTAATTTATAAAATAAAACAGTATATTAAGCAGCAAGAGGATAAAGGCAGCCATTTCTATGCGTAATTTTTGTAATACGAGTGGAGGTCGATGGCGCCGTAGGCGCCCCGAGACCGGAACAAGTGTCACAAAAATCATCGGAAAGAAATTGGCTGCCTTTATTCTCGTGTAACTTACGATATTTTTTATTCCTAATGCACAAAAGTGGCGATTTCAGATAGCAGACAACACGGAGTAAAAGTAATTCACTTGTTCGACTTGTATGAAAATGGCGGCCGTTTTCTCTCAAGGGCAAGAAAAATTCATGTGAACAGCTAATTTTCTTGCCCATGGGAGAACACGGCCGCCGTTTTCGTACGGTCAAACAAATGAATGACTTTCCTCCCTGTCGTCTGCTATCAGAAAGCGCCATTTTTGTGCATGTGGGATAAAAATAAATTAAAAATCCAAAAACATTGTACTTGTTTACTACCTCCACGCGGTGATAATTGGAAACATCAGTTTAGCAACTGGTGGCTAAAGTTGTTCAAAATAATTAAAAAGATTTAAATTAAGCGTCCTTAAAAACCCTTGAGTAAGCATTTTCAAAAGGATTAAATAAAATTTAACCTTCTTTACCCGGTATATGGGATCTGCCATTTTGAATTTTAAAAAAGTAATATCAGATTCGTAATCAGCGATCCCGAAAACCCCCAAGTAAGGGTTTTCGAGAGAATCCAATTGATTTTTGAAAATTTTGTCCGCCATATTGGATCCGCCATTTCGAATTTTTAAAAAGTAATTTCAGATTCGTAATCAGCGACCCCAAAAACCCGCGAGTAAGCATTTTCAAGACAAAAAAAAAAATTACATCGAACAATAAATTTTTGAATTTTTAGGCGCCATTTTGAAAAATTAAAAGTTTATTTACAAAAGGGCGATGTATATTTGGAAAGTGTAACAATCGAGTGCACGATTTATGGAAATGTGAACCGTTAAAAAATTTTTTTTGACATTTAAATTTAAGATTAAAAAAAAAATCATTAAAAAATTGTGTAATTTTTTAATTATATGCAAAAAAATATTGTTAAACAATTTTTTAATGATTTTTTAACATGATATTCGGGTAGAGGACACTCCAATAGATAAAAAAAATTTTGTCCGAATAGAAAATAGTATTTTTTTAAAAAAATACTTAAGTTTGAAATCAGACTAAAAATTCAGTGCATTCAGGCGTTAATGGGTTAATATACTATAGTTTCCATTCATTTTATGTTTTAAAATGTTTTTCAGTCACTTGAAAATGGGTGGTCTCTCAATTTTGACCTGTAGTGTATTATATTTACAATTATATCTGTCGAGAATTCGTTTGCTCTCAATGTGACACTTAACTCGTTAATTCTTGGTAACCTAACAAAATTTCCGTCTATAATATAAAAATTAATATTAATTATTTTATTTTTTGTAAATATTTTAAAATTAAAGTTTTTATTTCTATGTAGTTTACTAAAAACCTGTTTTATACTTTTTCATTTACATAAAATAGCATTCATTTATTTAAAAAAAACACATCGGGCAATCAAAAACCTAGAAATTGTGCCTTGCTCCATTTTTCGCAAATTTATAGTGTTATAAAAATCAAAATTTTCAAACTCACACTTTTTTTAGCACTTGTATTTGGATCACACTTGACACGGAAATTTCGACTAAAAAAGTGTTACTCAAAAAACATTACACTTTTAGAGACGTTGCCATCCAAACCTCGCACTTTTCGGTGTAAAACAATATCTCATTTTATAGCCTAAATTGCATTGTTTATAGTAATTTTTAAGTACAATATTGCTAAATAAAAACTACATAATGTTAGTATCACTTAAATACTACTTCTCATTTAAGTTATATAAATACTGCATTTATTTTTCAATTTAAAAACTGACCCTTTAAGATTTAATTATTTTACAAGTAATAGAATAGATTTAAAAAAATATTTAGCATATTCTTTCTGAAAATAAAATTGACACATTTTAGCTTTAAGTTTTCCATTATTTTGACAATGACCCAGATAGTTTTAAGAATCTAGGCTAAAGACGGGAGTATACACTAATTGTAAGTAAATAATAATAAAGAAAAATTTATTTTTAGTGGAGTAATAGACAGGGATCACAAAAAGATGTTCAAAAATTGAAAGAAACTTTCGAAAAATTTGGATTTGATATTGTTATCAAGGAAAATTTAACTAAACAAGAAATTTTCGATAATCTAAAATCTGTTAGCAATTACACTAAACAAGATTATGATTGTGTTATTCTTTGTATCATGAGTCACGGAGAGAAAGGTATTATTATTTTAATATTTTATCTGTTTTCATTTCTTTTATTTTGATATAAGTGAATTAAAACTTTGATTATTTTAGGAACAATTGTTACGAGAGATGAAAAATTAGTTTCCCTTGATAATATAAAAGATTTAATTTGTACCACTCAATTAAAACGAGTAGTAAAAATTATTATAGTCCAGGCTTGTCAAGGACAATTTTTAGGTAAGAAGAATCTATAATTACATCTATCTAGATCATAATGAATATATTAAGAACATTTGAGTTTGAATATAAATAAACATTGCAAATGTTGTCAAATTTATAATGTAAGAAATACCTGCCATATTATATATTTCATTTTTAAGCATATTACATTAGCATGTATAACTTTTTGTCATTTCGGGTTTGATTTTCGACCTCTCATATGAAATACCATTTAATTTGATTCAAGCTTGCGATGCAATAATAGACTTTAGCAATCCGACTTTAGCTATAGAAAATAGGCAATAAATTCACGACTTTTCTAACCACAATAGACCAATTGAAGATGTTCTAAATCCTTTACAACAATAGGAACCGACTCCCAGATTTTCCAAAATGTCATATAACCAACCTAGTTCAACCGGAAAAGTGCCAGTGCACTTCCGGTAAAGAGCGTCAACGACGGTGAGACTAGCCCGGAAGACGACACCTCGATAGTGGAAACCACGAAGATTCTATCTGGCGCCTAGTAAAAGAAAAATTTAATAAACAGATTCTTGCGGGTTGCCTGTGATACAAAAGTGTACGTATCACCGGCTCGTCCTTTTCACAAGAATATCATCATTGCTATTTTTGTAAAGCTATGTCAAGTAATAGTAAACATCGTTGCAAGGCGAATAAAAAGCTCTATTATGGCTTTAAAGAAAGCTTTAACCTTAATCTATTAGGTCAAAAAGTGAAAACTATTTGCTGTTACCCCTAATGTTTATTTAACATCCTGCTCAAAATATCTGTGAATCTAATCAGTAGTGCAAATCAATTCTTCATAATCGGATTGGCTAGAAATTTGATACTCGAAAGTTTTTAAAGTCACTGATTACGAATTACATTTTGAATTTTTGAAAACTGACTTCGGATTCGTATACAGCGACTCCAAAAACCTCAAAGCACTAACTCTCGATCAAATCCGAACAATTTTTAAAATTTCTTCCGTCGTATTTTGAATTTTTTAAATCTGACTTCTTGTTCATAATCAGTGACTCCAATAGTCCCCAAGTAATAAATTTCAAGCCAATCCGATTATGAAGAATTGATTTGCACCGATGCTAAGATTCACAGTTATTTTGAACGGGATGTCTAAGATATATTAGGGGTACTCGGTAAGTACAGGTCCCCCGCAATTACTTTTCAGTTTCCGCTTCCTTTAAAGCCATATTAGAGCTTTTTATGCCTATGGGGCATTCTTTCTCAAATTTACCACCACTCTGCCCATCTTCAGTTTAAACGAAAATCATTAAAATACCAATTAAAATTTGCAGAAAAATTTCAACTTTTGAATGGCGAGTGGCAAAATTGTACGTTTTAAATTGTTCACTCCGAATCTATCAATAAATGAAAAAAAGTCAAGAAAATAATTTTTTATCTAAGTATAATGTTTGTTTAATTAGACATATTAATTTTGTATGATCACTTTATAGTCCTCTCTTCATGTCTATATTGTCATATTATGAGGCTAAATTAAATTTGAGGTTATAATATGGCCGTCAAAACTGACTTAAATTAACTAATTGCGATGTGTTTTCTGTGCAGCATTATTTTCAATAGCGAATAAACTTTCAAGGGTTTCTGGTCTGACCCATAACGTATATAATGCTTGTGACCAATAGAAATTACCAATTTGAATTATTTAATAAAATTATTATTTGCAATTATTTAAAATAAATCAATAAATAATTTTCTAGACTTTATCTGCTATTTTATTATTTTCAATTAATCAGATAATCTTTCAGTCTAATCAGCAATTAATTCTCATGTCTCTCATGAACAATTTACCAAAAATAAAGCTCAGTTGAGCGCCAGTTATTTTACTTATTTTTTAAATTACTAAAATGACAAAATAATTTATCACTTAAAATTAAACTCGACAAAAATCAAAATTGAGACTCTAATGTTGGGGGGAATTGCTATTGAAACCGCCATGGAAAGCACATGGCATGAAGCACAATTATTTAACACAAAATTTTAGGTTAACTCACCGCACGGTGGGCTTAGACTAACTTTAACCTAAAAGTATTGGCCCATCTCGGTTTTCTTCAGATAATTATTCTACTCTATTTCTTCAGTAATTTGAGCCCAAAATGAAAAAAAATCGGTAGAAGGGATATTCAAACAAACTCGATTTTTGTGAATTTTGCTTCTTTATGAGGATGCTTTGCATTCCTCACAATTTTGAATTTTTCAAAAGAAGGTTATATTGACTCATTTTTATCTAAAATACATATAGGTATGTGAAGTATTGAACAAATGTCCCGATCTATGTTTGCGTATGTGTGTGTCACAAAATATTGTGTATATATTATCTCAGACACAATTTGACGGATTGTCCTAAAATATTTTACGCTTATTGCAGTCCTTAATACCTAAAATCTGACAGAAGAATTTCTAAATATATCCAACAAATTTTTAATACAAATTTTTTAAAAATTTGAAAAATTGTTTTCGTATTTTTTAAAATAACTTTTTCCTAATTTAGAAATTGTAACTAATTTTTGTTGTTCATTTCGTGATCATTTAGCTTCTTCATTATGATAAATAAATTTCTTCTTGAGAAAGAAAATATTATTCATGATATGATTATAATTTTTAAATTGTTGTATGAATATATAGTAAAATTTAAACTTTTTATATGACAACTGCATCATCTTTTATTGTAGAATAATTATTTCAAATTGTTAAGATAAGTTTTAAAAATTTCGAAATTTTAATTTTTTTTTAAATATAAAATAGCTTTAATTATATAAATAATGGTAAACTGTCTACTTTATGTAATTAATCGACTTTTTTCGTACCAGGAATATAATTCTGACAAAAATTAGTTACAATTTCTAAATAGGAAAAAGTTATTTCAAAAAATACAAAAAACAATTTTTCAAATTTTGAAAAATTTATAAAAAAATTTTGTGGATATATTTAGAAATACTTCTGTTAGATTCTAGGTATTTAAGGACAAAAGCGTATAAAATTCTAAAACAATCCGTAAAAACGTGTCAGATAATTTGCACACAACATTTTGTGACACACACACAAACACGTGCATAGATCTGGACATTTGATCAGAACTTCACATACCTAGAGTAGAGGGGGGTAATGTAGTGCACTGGCTTTACCGACTAAACGAATGAATTGAATTACCTGCCGTAGGTATGGTAGGTTTAAAGTATCAAAGTATATTAATATATGTTATTTTGACTTGATTGTGCTTCTTCTAAAAGAAGTTGTAGCGTCACTTCAAAAACACTAGATTTCGAAACCATATTTCCGTTTTTTAGTGACTTGAAGAAAATGTAAGGCTCGTTAAAAAAGTATCTGGAAAGTGATTATTCCATGTAAAATTTAATTCTAAACACAAATCTAGTATTGTTTTTACGCTTAATTTTGTTTTTATTGAGATATTGAAGTCAACGAGATGAGATGATACCATGCAAAGTCTCGATCTCATCTCGGTTTTTACATGCAAAGTCTCGTCTTGTGGGCATCACTACTAGTTTATAGTTTTTTAAGTTTCTTATGTTCCTAATGTTATATCTAATAAAATAAAATCGTTTATAATATATTCTCTGCTTTTTATTTCACCAATAAAGTGCTGCACTACATTGCCCCACAAATTTTAGAATGTCGAAAAAAGTGCCTTCAGTTTTTTGAATAAAGAAAAGCTCCATCTGCAAAAAAATAATGTACACCATAAATGTAACTAGAAGCATTATCTTTCCAACGAGTCCTTATTGATCAGAGTTGGTTGAAAATTGCGACCACAGGAGTTTTCGAAAGAAAAGTGCACTACATTACCCCCTTCTACTCTATATGTATTATAAATCAAAATAAGTCGATATAACCTTCTTTTAAAAAATTTAAAATTGTCAGGAATGCAAAGCATCCTTATGAAAAGCAAGATTCACAAAACTCGAGTTTGTTCAAAAATCCCTCTACCGATTTTTTCATTTTGGGCTCAAATTACTCAGAAAATAGAGTAGAATAATTATCTGAAGAGAACCGAGATGGGCCAAAACTTTTAGGTTAAAGTTAGTCTAAGCCCACCGTGACCGTTGTTGATAGTAATTAATAAAATAAAGAACGCTGGTTACTCTAAATTAATTTATTCGTAACAATGCTGGCTCTCGAAGGATATTAATCCTTTGTTAATCAACGGTTTATTAATCACATAAAAAAATAGTCACTCAAGTCTAGTTCACACTACGTTCGATTATGATTACCAAAATTATAAATTCACTCTATTTATCACAAAGTATTCTCTCAAATTTTAGATTGCGTTCCGTAAGTTTTTTTGAAATTTTTTAAGTTTTCAGAAAGTTTGCTGCAAGTTTGTTACAACTTTTCTGCAAGTTTTCTGTGAAAACTTGAAGCAAGTTTGCTCCGCAAACTTTACACAAGGCGGACATTTGACAATTTGACACAAATTTTCTGCAAATTTGCAAAGTTTGCAATGCAAACTTGCTGCAAACTTTCTGAAAAATGTTGTGCTATCTCGGAAGGCAAAAGAGAGTTATTTGATGATAGTAAGAATGAGAATAACTTATCAATCAGCGTCACGCTGGAAGGTGTCTTGGAAATTTCCAGTAAAGAGGTGGACAGGCATTTGCTGTTTCAATTATCGTCCCCTCGATCAAGAAGTTCAGTTCCAAGCATAACTTTAGTCTCGAATCGTGCACCGGTTTCTGTTATTTTGGAGCAATTCCACGCCAAGTGATCATAAGAATTTTCGATGATTTTAGCAATATTAAAAACTAGCAGAGCTACGCGCGCTAAGGCGCGCGCGATATTTCTGTTTCTGTCTTTTGATACTCAAGACCTTATTTTATTGTGTGTATATAAAAATGTAAGACTTTATGATCCGTTTTTTTCTTTTTCTAAAATATTGGAAAAAGATTACAATTTTTTTTGAAGAATTAAAAAACCTAAAACACGAAAACCAAAAATTAAATTTAACACACTGAGCTATATTG